TGAGAATATGATAAATTAACACACAATGAAATTGGATCTAAATTATTAATGGGCAATATTTCTGAGTAAGCAGGAGATACCATCTATCTGTCCTTACCTCTGTTTTTTTTCCCCCCGCTTCTAGGATGGCCCTGAAGCTGGACAGACTGTGAAGGTGAGTGCTCGTTATGTGCATACAAATGAATAAGGGGGCAATTATGAGAACGAATAAAGAATCAAACTGAGTCATTTGCAGCCCATTGCTGTTTCATTAGATCATCTCTGAGGTCAGACAGACCCTCAGTGCTTCTGCTGTGCAGCATGACATTATAAAGCATGCCAAACAATATGTCTCCCATGAGTTTATGAGATGTTTACCTTACGTAGTAAAATTATTATTGTGCAACAAGCGCTGGAACAGAAGCTGAAGCAGGGAGTCCTAAAACGGGGACCGAAGGCGAAGGGGTTCGTGTGGGTGGTGCCTGAGACAGAGCGCACGTGGTTTGTGTGGATTTATGGGTGACATGTTCAGGCTGTCTCTGATGCGTCTTCTGGTTCTTCCCACGGTCGCCATTTGCCTCTTCCCTCTTGGTGGTTCCCGGGGTTCCCTCTTCACTCCACGCCCCATGCTTCTCTCTGTCCGCCTTCCCTCCACCCCGTGCCGAGTCATTTCCTCCTCAGGTACTTCACACCAAAGTTCAAACCTAACAGTCAGTGGAGCTCACAAATGGGTTTTTAAGTGTGCTCGGAGAGGCAGGAGGATTTATTAGGGTAGTCTCTGCTTCCGTAGTAGAAGTAAAAGAATAAAATCCTGGCTGATTCTGAACCTGGTTTTCAGCCCCTTTCATACATATGCAAATTCCTGTGCAGTGGGGTCCTACGCATTGAGTCATAGAAAAGGCTGGTTTTTTGCGGTGCTAGAGAGCAAGAGTAAGTCAAGCTGGGGTGCTAATGTTATCCTTTGTGAAATAAGGTTTTATGGCTCTGAGGCTGGCTGTGAGTGGATAAGGTAATGGTTGGCAGCAAACGATGCCAAATAAACGTTGTTCCTTCCTATTATTAGTTGCATATGACTTAACACAGTTACCACAGGGACTTTTAAACCAGGATCTCTGGGCAGTGCCTTTGGGGAGTAAATTTCCTGTGAGGACTGCCAACAAATGGGCTACGAAATTCTTTACGACAAAATAGGGCCGGACCTCTGGATACACAGTGTGGCCATGTGGACAGAGGCAACATGAAGCTTTCTGGCATTCCACCACCCCCCTCACACTAAATATTTAGACAGTAGAAAGGGGTATAAGGCCAGTAGCTTCCTTCGGGAGTCGATTTTTGAAATGCAAAACAGAAACGTCTAAACCTGGTTTGCCAGTTTAAAAAAAAAAAATCACATTCGAATATAGATTTCCACACCACCAGGTTAGTTATATGCAGTGTGCGGTATCTGCTTGATAGAATTCCTTCAGCCATTAAAAGTGATGCGGTAGACGCATAGCTGTTAATATGGGGGGATGCAAAACTATACTGAGTGGAATGCACAGATTGATAATATGCACACATTAAGCGTATCTAAAATTGATATGAATAAGTAGGTTACATGATTTCAAATTTTCATTTCAGAATTCTAAAAGGAGCATTGCAATGAGTCAGAATCAACTCGACAGCAACAAGAGGGGCACTAAAAATATTTGTTATAAAGCCAGGCATTGAATTGGTATGAGTCCCCTTTCATGAACTATCTAAATAAGCAAATTCATAGAGACAGATCATAGATTAGTGGTTGCCAAGGACTGGGGTGAGGGAGTGGCAGCTAACGGGTAGAATTTCTTTTAAAGATGATGA